TAGTCGGGTTCCGGAGAGGATTCTTCCTGCCTTGCAGATGTCTCTCTGCTGGTCTCTTCTTATAAGGTCATTACTCCCATGGTGAGGGTCTCACTCTCATGACCTCATCTAAAACTAATTACTTCCCAAAGGCTCCATCTCTACCTCCAATTATTATACACATCAGGAGTTAGAGCCTCAACATATGAATTGGAGGGGGCAGGGTGTGTGTGTGTGTGTGTGTGTGTGTGTGTGTGTGTGTGTGTGCATGCACGCGCACAGAGTTCAGTCCATAGCAGTGAGTTCTCCGTTATGAGAACTTTGTTCCTAACATTGAATCAAAACTTATCTCTGCATTACATCCCTATGTCAGGGAAGAAAAACTCTCCTCTACCCTCTTCAAGTTTGTGAGGGCTTGCCTATAACTAACAAAAGACAAATTAGGCACACAATTTTTATAATATTTATGTGCACAGGAGTTCACAGAAAAAGAAGTGAAACTCAAAGAAGCAGTTTAACAGGGATATGTATATATATATATATATATATATATATATATATATATATATATATATGTTTGGTTTTTTTTAAAGGAAAGAGAGTTTGGACTTCAAGGGATGATAAATTGCTGGGAAGTGATAAGGAAATATTTGGAGAACTAATGGAAGATAAGGGCTATTTTAGTAATGTCTGTTAATGCAAACTCAGCTTGGACATTCGATGACCAGAGTTTCTCTTCCACCCACCCCTGGTATGGTGGGGGGCACCTTCTCCAAAGGGAATTTTGCGTCCTGTTTTAAGCAGATAAAGAGAATGCGGAGACCTCTTCCTGTTATCTGTCTGTTGATTCTCAATTCCCTTCAGCTCAAAATAAGCCTTACGCCAAAGTGTCATATTTGAGGTGACATATGCTGATCCCCTTCGCCTACAACAGTCGTCCTCAACTTTCACTCTGTGTCAGATCCACCTGAGCGGCTTTTAAAAAATTAGATGACTAGGTTCAGTGATTTGATTTCACTTGAGCTGAGTGGAACACAGACATGGGTATATTTAGAAAGTTCTGGTGATCTTAATGTACAGCCAAAGTTCCAGTAATTCTCACTCCTGGCTGCACAATAAGATTATTGGAGGAATTTCTAGAAACATATCAATGCTGAGGCCCTGCCCAAGACTAATTAAATTAGAATTTCAGGCGAGGAGGCCCCAAAATTGGTCATTTGGATTTTGTAAAATCTCAGATAACTCTAATCTGAGAACCACTGTAGAGCAATTTCGGCTGGTGCTTTTATTTCTACATGGTGATAAAACATAATCTCTTTTATCCAAATTGACTGATTCCTTTAAAACTGTACAGACACAAACCTAATCATACATTTCATTAAATGTCAAAATTTGTTACATGAGACCTATAAAATGCTATACAGTTCTTATAACGTTCAACCACACGTTTCACTGGATGTTAATTAAATTGTTCACTATTTAAGTGAACCTGTCTACAATCTCCTGAACAGCAGTATTTCTAATTTTACATATTCTTATTTATCTATAAATGGTCCCAATAAGAATCTGGGGATATTTTTAGAATTCTACGGTAAGGAGATTTAGGATTATGCCAGGCAAGTTTGCGCAGCCCCTCCCCTGCCTGCCTTTACCAAACAGGACCATAACTGCAAAACAACCTTCCAGAGGTGGGAGGCAAACCAGCCTGGCTGATAAGCAAAAATGGGAACTGGCAGGCATGGAAGGAACACAACCAAATCTCAGACTTGTGTTTATCCAATCGATAAATGCCATGGCTCTTGAATAACTTGTTTAAATTCATTTCTCAGGGGCGGAACAAAAGGAGAGCAATGAAAGCAATGCTGTTAGAGAACTCATTAGAGTCAGTAAGGAGAAAGCAGGCTTTAAGATAATCACTCTTAGGGAGACAACATCCAGACCATCTTTTGGTTCACAATGATATCAGTAAGCAGTGCGGTGGTCAGGCAAGCCATTTACTCAGTCTGTAGAAAGATTATAGAAAGGAGATCAATAGCTTCATGGCAGAGGATCTCCCGGGTTTGTGCAACCCTTTCGTTGACTCTTTTGTTGCTAATTTGGTTTTGGTAATATGAATCTCCTCCAGTGCCTTTCACTGTTAGCATTCTAGGAGCAGTTAGCCAAGCAGAAAGGCCACACAGATCAAGCCTATTGTCAGCTGGCAAAGGCTCCATTGAATCCTAATGGACATAGGAATCTAGCAAAACAAAGAATCCTTAGTGCCTTGCTTAAATGAATCCTCCATCAGAGGCCAAGGGAGACGTTTTGATTATCTGAAAAGGTAGTGATTAGAAGGTTCATCTATTATGAACCAAAAAGAAAGAAGGAAAGAAGGGAGTAAGAATGAAAGAACATAAAAAAGTGGAGAAAGAAAGGATAACATTTCTCTACCTTGCAAGGTTTCCTCAAGGGTCTCTGGACAAAAATTTGAAAGAAATCTTAGAATCCCTATATAGAGTGGTCTCTGGTGTCCTCTATCCACATAAATGCAGAAATTTGCTATTCAATGTCTCTAAAGGAGTCACTGGCTGCTTTTGTCTTTCATCTCGTATTCACAGCATTTGTGACAAGTGAGAGGGGGAAGGGAATGTTCAACTTTGTTGTGTGGTTATCTTTTGACGCATGTAACTTCTAGAAATCGAATGATCTTTCCTCTAAAATCTTAAGCATTTTTTTTTAAAGTGTGAAGTTGGCTTTCCTTCTTTAATTCTAAAGACATGGTTTGCTTGATTGAGACGCTTTGATGATGATATGTGTGCTTTCACTTTTGGAGTCAGGCTGCAAAGAATTGGGTGCTGTGACTATTAGAAAATGATGAAGTAAAAGGTATTCAACCATTGATGTTAAGAGAAGCAAACGTAGCATCAATTATTTTAATCTGGAGAAAAGGAAGTTGGCCATTGCCAGAAAATATTTGCTCATCCTCCTGCAATAGAAAACAACAACAATAACAAAAGACCCAGAATCACCACGCATACAATTTACTGAGCACTTGCCATAGGCCAGAGAAGAGTCAAGCTCATTTAATATCCATAAATATTCTGAAGGATAAAGCTATTTTTATTATTCTACAAATGGCAAAATTGAAGCTAAGAGAGCTTAAGTAACTTGCTAAAAGTCACGTAGCAACTAAGTAGAACCATGTCTAGACTCTGAGGCTGGCTGGCTCTCAGATCATTCCTCCTCCGTAGAGTCTTCTCCATCTTCCCTCCAATGCCCTTTCCAGGTTTGTCATCTCCTCTTCTCCATCCTACAGAGATTGTCTCCCCAACCAGTGCCCTCAAACTCTGACTAAAAAACGGTCTACTTTATTGCTCCCATTTTATAAAAATTAGGACTTTAATTAGTGGGGGAAAGCATTTTATTCAGTTGCAACTTCTGGTTCCCTCTCACCTGATCATTTAAAATAACTTCCTATGAAGACCTATAGAAAGAAAAGTGCAGAGAGAGGAAGACATGCTTGCTGCTGAGCTATCTACGTGCAACACTGCTCTCCTCCTCCAGGATTCTACAAAAACAGCAGCAAAGTCGGTTCTGCTTAAAGATTTGCTCACGTTGGTGTGTTCTGGAAAAAGCAGGACACTCAGAAGAGTGAGTCTCCAGTATCTTTCTTGGGGAAAAGCATACATCCAACAAACAGAAACATTTGATCAGACGTAAGGAAGCAAGCAGTTTCTCATTGCTCCACCTGTGGCATGGGTATTGTATTTGATTCTCTTTTGATTTTTAGTTGCTTCTAGGGTTGCTAGATTTAGTAAATAAAAATACAGGATGCACAGTTGAATTTCAATTTCAGATAAACAATGAATCATTTTATGGTATAAGTATAAATTTCAGATAGATAATACATATTTTTAGCATAAACATTTTTAATATGTGTGACCCAGGCAATATTTGACACATTCTTATACTAAAAAGTTAATTATATTAAAATTCTATACGGTGTAACAGCAGAACCAGCTCAAAATGGTCCCATCATGTTTAACGAGATACTGAGCTGCTTTTCAGAGACAATAGACCCAAACTGCAAGGCATGCAGGCAAAGCTTGTGCAGATGAGAGAACTTTGACCTGCAGCTGTACCTGGAAGTAAAGTCTTGTCCTTCTCATCCTCTCTCACCACCACCACAGAATCAAAGGACTAGGACATAACCAGAACCTGAAACCTTTTAGGAAGCAAAGGGCCCACCAGGAAGATCCGATGTTGACACCCCTTAATATAAATTACCAAACTCTAATTAAAACTTTCCCCCCAGAGCTTCTGCATACTTGTTCCCCTAAACCCTTAAAAACTTGCCTGGAAACCTCGATGGGGAAATTCAGGCTTTTGAACACTAGCTTCCTGTTCTCTTGAGTGACACCATTCATCATAAAATAGCCAGTCTTTCTCCACTGCAGTTTTTGGTGTTTCATGTTTGATTCTACTAGCACCAGGTGGATGAACTCTTTCTATTTGTTTATCTGAAATTTAAATTTAACAATTGTTTATCTGAAATTTAAATTTAACTGGGTATTCTCTATTTTATCTGCCAACCATACAATGCACTGTGATGAGTCTACACATGATAATGGAACCTAGAATGGACTATTTGTGTAGACCTTATTTTTAAAATTAAAACAAAAATTGATCAAGACACACAGTAATGTAGATGCATATTTATTTGCAATCTATTCTAGGTGCCATTGTGAGAAAACTAAAGGGCGTGTCAATTGGTGTGACATTTTCTTTGTAATTTTAGTGTGATTTCAATGTCATTTCATTGTTATTTCACTATATCAGTCTTGGTGAAATAATTTCAGAATACACATTCATTCATTCCCTCAACAAACCCTTACTGAGTACTAACGCTGTAAGACATTTACTTCATGCTCTAGGGATTCAAAACAGAATCTGAGCCAACCATTATCTTCAAGAAATCAACTGTTCTATTAGTATAAGTAGTATAAGTACATATAATATATATTAGTATAAATAGTATAAGTGCCTGAGATTCTAGTAGGAAAGCATCACTTTCATCTGAAGTTAGCAGCAAAATGTGATGGGCACAACTGGACCTCCGATCAGGCCATGCTGAAAAAGGAGAAAAGTTGTAGTCAGTAACAAGTCCTTACTGGATTCAGTCACCTCAGTATTTACTCACTTTGCTGCCTAATATTTCACATGATTGGCAAGTTGGTACATTACCATTTCTAACATTATTTTATTTTTAAAAATAAAGAATGGCCAGTGCCTTCAGTGACCATTTGGCAGTCCTTTGTTAGTCTGCCTGGGCGGTTTTATTTTTAAAGTAGTTAGCCTTAAGTACACATTAGTAAGCTTCATCATGCTTCCTTACTGGGTCAAGCTCAACAAATATCTTTTTCATAAGGAGGTGTTAATTCTATAGTATTTTCTTGGTGCCTCACCTGGAAAAGCTTATTTATTTTCTCAGTGTCTGGTTTTCTTTCTTTTTAAAAAAATAAATATAATATAAAAATAAATATTATCACGCCTATCATTCTACCAGGAATAATAATGACTGCAGTGCCTGCAAGAAGCTTTCAGCCTCCTCGGGGATTCTAAAATACTGAAAACTGTTACATATACTTTGACCCAACTGCCACACACTCCTTGGATTCGTGGCAGTTATGAGGAGCTGTTGGCCAGACAAATCAAGTCAAACGAAAATGCCTTTCCCAATATACAAAGCTGCTCTTGTTTGCACTGCAGCTATGGGTCTTGACACTCTGACTCCTTTTGCTTATTGGGTTTACACTGTGTGAACCAGGCCTGCAGAGAGAAATTGCTGCATCTCTCATTACCACATGTCTGGGTTTGGGCTCCAGCTGAAGTATTTTGTTTGTGGACTTCCGACCCAGCATTCATTTCCTTCTGTTCTTTCCTATTATTGCTACTTCTTTTGGTTTATACAACACCAAAGGACTCAAGATGTGCCCGTGTCATTAACTCTCTCAACATCTTTCTCTAATAAAGAATATTATTCCATGAATATCAAGAATAGATGGGCAATGTTCAAAAATCTCTGTATTTATCCTCCATTTTAGCCAGTTCCATCAACGTTTTAATATAAAACAAATCCCTGGACACTAAGGATAGAGCTAACAGACAGACTCTCGCAGAAGAAAATTTAGAGAGGTCAATAGTCATTTATTTCAAAATATTATTTCCCTACCAAGGTCAAGCCATCTCATGGGTCAGTGCATGTTTATCTGGAAGCCTCTGGGGGACAATTTCAGTTTTTCCACTTTCCTCCACATGACATTTTTCTTTATTATCCATCAAAAATGAATCACAGTTATGTTAGACTATGAACTCAATTTCAGCAAACTTTTATTTATTTCTTTTGCCTCCGTGTTATTACAGTGAAATTGTAAGTATTGTGCGTGAAGGGATTGTCAGTATTTGCCTTCCAATTAACTGATAATGCCCCTTGGAATTTCACTACAACATATGAGAGGCCTCAGAGGGAAAGCCATTTTTGAATGGCAAATTTCATGTCTCTCAGTGACAGTTGGGATTACCTTGTGCTCCAGCACAATTCCTACAGAGAAATATTTGTCATGTTTCATTGACAGTTTAGTGTTATAATTATGCACTAAGCATATTTACTCCATCCAAGCATTAAAGTAAGCAAATACTTAGCTTTTTCCCTCATAAGAATAAGGGGAAAGCATGCTAAATATTTCCTTATCTACTTCCAGATAGGTTGTCTGTAAGCACATAACTCTGATTGCCTTTGGGAATGACATCTTAAGTTTTATGTGTGCGATCAGTGTCACAGCAGTGTGGATTGTCACATGGGATCCATCAAAGCAGAGCCTTCCTCTGCTTAAGAAACAGAGCCTGATCTTGATCCTAACAACATCTGTTTTGGATTACCTAATATGTTTAAATGCTCCTCTTTTGGCCTGAGATCTTTTGCATAATCCTATCCAATTCTTATCTCCTAAGGGTGCCACTCTTGCTTAGAATGAGATAGAGTGTCAGCTTGTCTAGAGATACATGCCTGAGAATTGTGAATTCTCCCTTGTAAAAGTTTGTGTTCTTTTTTTTTTCTTTTCTTTTCTTTTCTTTCTTTCTGTTTTTTCCTTTTAGTATTTATACTGAGTGTTGGAGAAAAAGTCAAGAAAGAAAGGAAAGGGATGACATGTGATTTTTTCCCCCCATTGTCCTTCTATCATCTCTTCTTTCTGTTTTTAAAACTGCCTCTTTTCTCCTGAGAAAAGGAAAAATGCCTTCTCTGCATGGCTGAGTGTGGCTATGTAGCAGTCAGCTTTGAGCAGGAACTTACAGGTTTTGAAAAGTGGGTGAAAGTTCAGTGGGTGCACCAGTTTTTGGGTTTTTTTAAAGATTTTTATTGGGGAATTGGGGGATGGGAACAGTGCTGGGGAATTGGGGGAAGGGGAACAGACAAGTTGCTGTCCTTTTGTTCTTCAGTCTAGTTGTGGAGACATTGCTTCACTGGCCCAAGTTGGCACCATCATTGCGCTCTTCCCAGGTGAGGCAGATCAGTCACCGGCTTCTGGACGGCTGCTCACGCTGGCTGCTGGCTACACACGGTAGCCCATGGCAACCCACTGCAGCAGGGGCTGCAGCCTACACCGTCGCCGGCAACTCAAGGCAGCCCAGCTCCAGGTTGAGCCGTTGTTCAGCATCTTAGCTGTAGAGGGCAGTGTCACTGGCCCTCCTATGTGGGATCTGAACCGGGGCCCTCTGGCGTCCCAAGCCAGTTCTTAACCATCACGCCACTCGGCCAGCCCCACCAGTTTTTAATATTGCTTCTTTCTGTACCAAGATTTAAAAAAGAAAAGTTTCTTTATATTTATAGCTAAGTGAATAGGATTGGGTTCTTCCTCATGGACGCACATCTCGAAAACCTTTCAACTATCAGAACAGGGATAGGTTTTCATGTTTTGCTGTTGCTACTATGGACACAGTAAGTAAAAAGAGATAATGATGCTCAAAAACCATGGAAAGTCAAAAATCATTATGGTGCAATTATTACTATTATTATTATTATCATTATTATTATATTATTGTCAAAGATATAAGCCACAACATTAAGAAAAGATGATGAAATGTTTAGTGCCTGAAACATCTATAGGCAAATCTAAACTTTAAAAAGCAGAGAATTGTAAAGATTGAGAAATTTGAAAAAGACACTCCAAATGCTTCTCCTCTCCTTCCTTTCACCGTCTACATCTACATTCACACATGCATTCACATCAGTCATTAATGCTTACCATAATCCTAGAATTTGCTCTGTTGAAGCTAATCAAAATGCAAATACTATTGAGAAGGGCAACACTTTTCATAAACCACCGCCTATCAACTCAAATTAATTGACAATATCTGGTTTGAATAACTCTGAGTAAATTGAGCAGAGGTACTCTAAATTGACCTAAGTACTCAGGAGAAAGGATTATGGGAGATCTGTAACCTAAGAAACTGGGCAGTAATTCAGATGGTTCTGTGGGGCGTCTGGAGCCATAGGTAAATTATGAGCCCAGAGTGAGTGGTGAAGAACAGAGGCAGGAAAAGGAGAGGACCAAGGGAGACAAATGAGTTATAAGAGACACTGAAATGAGCTTCACTTTATTCACACATTAAATCTGGAAATGAGGTCTCAATGTCTCAGGATAAGAATCAACAGGTCAGGGGCAAAATGGGTAAACATTTCCCTCACTTTCAAGAGACCACCTAAATGAGTCAGCTAAGATATAGATCTTTATTTTTGCAAAAATGCACTGTTAAGAAAATATTACTGTATCTAAATATCATCTGGTGATCTGACTGTTAGAACTGGGAATTAATCAGTGGGAAACAGTCACCTCTGAAAGCCTTTGCTTCTGACTAAATATGTGAGATAAAATTAGTACAAATGGGTAACAAGAAATGATTTCCATATTTTACTGACAGGTAATGTTAGAAATCATTATCCTAATGGCTTATGAACTTCCTGTATTATCAAATGATATTCTGGAGTAATATTATGATCAGAGGAAGAAATTTTTTTTCTCTCTCCATGTCATAAGCATATATATATATATATATATATATATATATATATATATAATGATTTTACTCTCTTGGAGAATCATTGTTTTCTTTGTTTTAACAGAACAAAGAAAAGGGAAATTTAAGCTTATTAATGGACACTGCATATTCAGAAGGCCCTGGAAAGCTGTAGTCATCACTATAAATTCTTTTCCCAGTAAATTTCTTTAGGGTGAGAAATTTGTTTTTCTGACTTAAAGAACTATCTCAGCTGATACTCCAAATGACAATGCAGGGTTGAAACCTGGAGAGATGAAAGGTGAAATGCTTCGCTTCCTGGTTCAGGATGACCCTCCTGTTAATAACTGGGCATCATTCTTGTTTTACATGGTAAGGTGATTGAATGGCTTAGAGCCTGTCCAGCCAATTGTCTGAGGGAATGTATCACCAAGACAGAGAGAGGAGCTGAGGATAAAGTTAAACGTGGCCCACTGTCTACTACTCCCATAATCAACATGACTTCTGAATATGACCTTGAGGCTGGACCTGGAGCTTTTGAGTGGGGTCTCAGGCTCCTTCGAAGTTCGAGTGGAGAGAAATGGGGCAGAATGTTCTTGGTCAGAGCGAAAAGGAAGTTCAGGATAGAGATGCATCTAAACGACTAGTTTGCTGGAGAGAGCTTGGCTGGTGAACAGTGGTCTCTGATGAGAGAGCAACAACAGTCCAAATGATTTTCAGGGAGGGGGTGCTGGTCTCCCTGGTCCCAGGAGGTGTGCAAGTGTGTGTTCCCCCCTTAACCCCTGAACCTGGGAAGGAGTGGTCTTTCTTGACAGCAGAGAACATTTGGGGGAATTGAGGCTTCCTCCGCTGTCTGCAAAGTGGTGATGATGTAAAGGTTCATTACCTCCCACAGTCTAGGGTGTAGACACAATCTGAGGACTAGACCCAAAGTCACAGTGAAATAAAACAGCTAGAAGAAATGCACTAGGATGGGACCACCAAACTAACTAGAGAACCTGAAGAGATTCAATGAATGCACATAATGTATCTCTAAATCTTCACCAATATGAATTTTAAAATTCAACAGAAAAAATAAGTCATTAATATGAAGGAATAGAAAAACTCATTGATAAGCTCAATCTAACAAATAAAAATAGACTTTTATTACTCATCAAATAGATACTATATATTTTTCTATAGCAAATAAATATTTACCAAAAAATGATCTGATACTGGTCTACAAGTAAAATTTTAACCAATTTTTCAAAACGAGTTTTTTTCCCCCCCGGGACTTATTATCTAATCAAAAAAGAAAGTCTGGAAATCAATAATTTTTAAATTACTCAAAGCATAGTAACTCCTGAAAATTAGTAAACAAACTTTCAACTTACACTTAGAATAAAGAAGACTCTACAAATGAGAAAGGGCTTTACGTAAACATGTTAGAATTGGACCCTTCCCTTGACTTGGCCTGTGAAAACAATCAACTGGTGGGTGGCACCATGTGGAGGTCCCAAAGTCTCTAAAAGTGAAGCAACCTTTAGGCCAGTTATCCTAGGAAACAAAAATAGAATAACTCAAGGCATTCAAGGCTGCGGAAGTGTTTATCTTAATAGAATCAGAAATATATACCTATATATATATATTGTTTCCTTTGTTATTATTTATGTGGTCTTCTTTGGAATTAGTATTAGCCATATATATAGATGATATATATGCTATAGATATAGATATAGATATAGATATCTCAGAGGTGCCAAAAAAATGTATACACATTTTAAGAAAGGAAAAAAACTGTATTAAAATTGTGATAATTTTAATTAAATTTAATTTAATTTTAATTAAAATTGTGTAATAACAAAAGATGAATACAAGTCATGTGTATACATTTTTTTGGCACCCCCAGAATGTATATATGTGTGTGTGTGTGTAATATATATATGACATATATGTTATATATGTTATATGTATATATTATATTATGTTATATAACATATATGTTATATTATACACACACACACATACACACACTCTATGACATGCCTTAGTGGTACTTTGCAAAGCTAAGATATTTGAAACCAAACCATAGACAAAGAATTGAAGGGGGAGGATAGTCCTAAATATTTGAGATCTGCTTCACTCAGAGGATGAAACCCCCTTGCTGAAAGGTCAAGAAGCGTGATTCACCGTCCCATCTCCCACCTGGGCCCCAAATTTTGAAAGTTTTGTACTGTTTCTAAGGAGTTCGTGCATGTCTAAAGCTAGACCAGAACCTTTATGGAAAGTCCTTCTGCTCTGTTCTTTGTTTTCCCTTACTTTGAGCTCTTGAGTTAGCCCCTTCTTTCTTCTTTCTTTCATTAGCCCCAGTCATCATTCGAAACTTTGTCTCTGCAGCTATTTGCTTTAGTCCTTTTTCTAAAGCACATGACCATTGCAGAGATTCTTTTTTCTGTTATCTCTGCTGAGTAGCCTCTGGCCTCCTATCACACAGAACACCTAGGAAAGCATTGCCTTGTCTAAGTGTATCGCCTGAGCAGCCAAGATTGCAAGCTGGTGAATGCCAGAGCAGCTGGACACCAGAAGGAATGTCTCTACAGTAGTTAAGAACAAGTCTGGATTAATAGGCAAAACTACTCCAAAAGCAGTTTTTTTATTCTTTGTTCTTATGGTGTTCCACAGAAAGGCATAAGGCACATTTCCTGAGAAATGCACGGTAATGAAAAAACTTTCTGGCATAGATAGTTCCCAAATGTTCAGGTCACTGTAACAGAATTATAGCCTAAGATGCACTGCCATTAAGTTCCCAAGTCATTTGCATCTATCAGGAAAGAAAAAGATTGCATTGATATGGTATACAGTGTCTTCTTATTTGGTCAAATCTTAATTGGCACCATTGTGGTGTAGCTGTGTGGTATTTTATACAGTACTGCCAGAAAAACATGAATGCCTTCCACATGAACATTTTAAGGGATTGTTTGTTAGTTAGCTAAAGCCACATTAGTTAATCTGTTGTAATAAACTCCAAAATGCATAAAGGCTTAACCCCAATATAAACTTATTTCTTGCTTATGCAAAGTCTAAGCTGGGTGTTTCTAATCAATAGGCTCTGCTTTTCCAAGTGATGACCTACAGGGATCAGTCATCTTCCCAAATGTAGCTTCCAAAGTTGCTTGGGAGAATAACCCCTTTTCAAGCCAATCAGAAGGAGGCAAAGCATAAAGCATCTCCTGAGGTGGTAGCAGTGGGCTTGGCTGCAAAGTGGCACAAGCTACTCACGTTTCCTTTTTCATTTATTGGAAGTCAGTCACATGGCCACACATGGGAGGCCAGTAAATGCAGTCAAGCTAGGAGCTCAGGAAAAAAGAAGAAATGGGTTTGATAAACATCTATCAGGCTCTCCCACTCTGGTCTTCTAAATTCATTTTTGGTTCCCATTTCCTTCAGAACTGGGAATATTTTTATTTATTTATTTATTTTTGTTTTTTTGTTTTTGTTTTTTATTTTTTTATTTATTTTTTTTATTTTATTTTTTTATTATCATTATTAGTTTCAAGTGTACAAAACAATGCAACAGTTATCCTTTTCACCCCTCACAAAGTGACAACACCCTCCCCCCATGAACTGCCCCTCCACCCCCGATATCATACATGTCTATTACAATTACATTGATTCCACTCCCCACACTCTACACATCCCATGAATATATATGTATTAAATTATAGCTGACATATAGTATTATTCAATGGCAGCTTCAGATGTACAGTGCAGTGGTCAGGCCTCTACACCATCCATGAAGTGGTCTCCCTGACAAGACATGAGACCATCTGACCCCTTAAAAAATATTTACAACATTATTGATTTTATTCCCCAAACTGTCTTTTCCATCCCTGAGGCAGTGTTGTAGTTACCAATTTATGTTGTCTCGTCCCTTCCCCTTCTGCCTCGTCCCCACCCCCTCCCAACTAGCAACCATCAGTTTTTCCTCTGTGTCTCTGAGACTATTTCTGTTTACGTTGCTCATTCATTCAATTCTTTAGATTCCACGTATAAGTGAGATCATATGGTATTTGTCTTTCTCTGGCTGACTTATTTCACTTAGCATAATGTTCTCTAGTTCCATCTATATCGTTGCAAATGGTATGATTTCCTTCTTCTTTATAGCTGAGTAATACTCCATTGTGTAAATCTACCACAGTTTCTTAATCCAGTCATCTACCGGTGGGCATTTCGATTATTTCCAAGTCTTAGCTATTGTAAATAGCGCTGCAATGAACATAAGGGTGCATATATTTTTTTGGATTAGTGTCTTGGGTTTTCCTGGATAAGCGTGGAATTGCTGGGTCATAAGGTAGTTCCATTTCCACTTTTTTGAGATACCTCCATACTGATTTCCATAGTGACTGCACCAATCTGCAGTCCCACCAACAGTGTACCAGGGTTCCCTTTTCCCCGCAACCTCATCAGCACTTGTTGTTTGCTGATTTATTGATGACAGCCATTCTTACTGGGGTAAGGTGGCATCTCATTATGGCTTTTATTTGCATTTCCCTAATGATTAGCGAGGTTGAACATTGTTTCATATGCCTGTTGGCCATCTGTATGTCCTCTTTAGAGAAATGTCTCTTCATGTCCTCTGCCCATTTTTAATTGGGTTGTTTGTTTTTTTAGTGTTGAGTTGCATAAGTGTTTTATAAATTTTGGATATTAATCCCTTATCAGATATATCGTTGACAAATACCTTCTTCTCCCATTCAGTAGGCTTCCTTTTTGTTTTATTGATAGTTTCCTTTGTTGTGAAAAAACTTTTAAGTTTGATGTAATCCCATATAGAACTGGGAATATTTTTTAAAAATCAATGCAATCCACCACTAACTTGAAATGTACTGTGTAGCCAATGCTATCACATTTAAATTACCACTAAAGTTATATTCTATATTAAATTACCTGTTCTGAATCTTTTCCATGTATCCTTCTGAATCAGATATCCTTCTCATATGGCTTTGTCTCTTCCCTTTCGGCAAAAAGATTTGATTTTGTTCTTTTACTGCTGCACAGTCCATCTCCAGGGGTGCACTAAACGTAAAATTTATTCAACTAAGTTAGCCAGGAAAAAAAAAACCCAGGATAAGTTCACTGCAATGTCTCCCTTACTAGGGGCTTTATCTCACCAAAATGTCTCATATCCTCCCCTTGACAAACCAAAATTGCTGCTGACCTTTCATGAACTCAGGAAAAGGTGATGGGTCAGATAGCTACCTCTTTATCCCCACACAATCCAGATGCTGACGTCAAAACCTTGTCTCAGCATAAGCAAAAACTGGGGAAGATTCAGTAAGTGTCAGTCTAGCTGCCACAAGGCGCTGCTTGATGTTTGTAGAGACTGACATGAAGAAATGCTCCTGAGAAATCCCCCTTTGGCAGTGCAGCAGAAATTTCACATCCACCCTAAAATCACTTGCTGAGCTATTTGCACTCTGCCACAAAAGTTTCCATCAGCAGAAAAGACAGCTGGAGTTTGGGTTTGAAAATGCCACTTTAGGCTGTGTTGGCTAAGACCTGTAGAAAGGGAGGCTCATAAGTCCTTCTGGCAGTTCCTGTCAGGATCTTAATGAGGCACCTTGTTTGTAAAGAGAACAGTGAATTCAAAAAGCAGAAGCTTAGAAGCCAAAGTGATGGATGCATATTAGAGATATCTAGATAGTTTGGGTGCAGAAATGATGTTTTGAGAGCACAGTGTGATATGCATACAGTCACTGCAAGGGTAACCACAGCAGTATGTGTGGCCTTGACAATCTCTGTCATGCTCTGCCAGTTGAAGGATGGGTGTCAATTTTAACTGCTCAAGCACTCCCTTGTCTGGCTGAGAAATCCTCAAGAAATCTGCCCTTGGCCGGCCGAGTGGCTCAGTTGGTTAAGGCACTAGCTCTGAGCAACAGGGTCCCCGGTTCAATTCCCACATAGACCAGTGAGCTGCGCTCCAACTGAGCTGCCACTGAGCTGCCAACAGGTGGCAGGATGGCTCAGCTGGTGAGAGCACGTGCTACTAACAACAAGGTTGCCTGTTAAACTACCATATGGGATGGTGGGCTACGCCCACCTGCAACAAAGACTGAACATGACACAGTGAGCTGAGCGGCCTTCAGCTGCCGAACAGTCAGCCAGATGGCGACTGGACTTGGAGCTGAGCTAGCTGCGCCCTCCACAACTAGGACTGAAGGACAACAATTTGGCTGTTCCACTTCCCCAATTCCCCAACACTGTTCCCCTTCCCCAATTCCCTAATAAAATCTGTTTTTAAAAGAAAAAGAAGAAGAAAGAAGTCCTCCTTGATCCTGTCGCACAGTACTGCTATGAAATCCTACAAAGCCTTGCTCACTTTGCAGTCTCTTCGTGCATGAGTCTCCTCTTCTTCTGATACCTGTGTTAACCCTGCATTCTAAGTCTTTCCCTGTGACTTGGGACCATTCACCTAGCCTTTACCTGTGGTCCAACCCATCCCTTCATTTCTTCATGTATCCCAGGGCAAGTCCATTATCATATTATACCATTTTTTTTTTCAGTTCAATCTTCTGTTCCTGTCTCTTACATGAAAACCCAAACGACAGCTTGAGTAAAACCATCATGACCAATTTTTGTTACTCTGTATTTTATAATTTAAATATTTTCTTGTGTCTTTTCTTTTTTCTTCCCCTCAAAATGTACCTGCCTTCTTTAATTTTTCCCTCAGAACTAACCTCTACTCTGTCAAGAGGTAGCTAAATAACCTGACAAATAAATTGCAAAAATGTGTTCAGTTAGGTTATAGAAATCCCTAAAGAATGAGTCTGCATAAAATAAAGATGTTCTGAATATAGTGCTTTAAAAAAGGAGATGGCTCAAGTGGTGGAAACACGTGGCACCTGGTAAACTTTTAGGGGAGATGTTTGGGGAAAAATGGTTTCTAAGTGTCCTTTAATAACACAATAGAGTGACTCTCTTCTCTGTTTACATCTAAAGCCATCATCGTCTCATAATTGTCCCTAAAAACTGTAAAAAATTTTGTGATACAATAATTACTGTTGTATTTATAGTTTGTTTCAAATAAATTGAAATAGTGATAGTTAACTGTATTTTTTTTTGTTAAATGTATTATTAATATAAGTACAAAAGGCTAGAGAGACAATATTTAATTTACCCTTTGCATGATTAAGAAATGCATTTGTAGGGCCGGCTGAGTGGCGCAATGGTTAAGAGCTGGCTTGGGATGCCAGAGGGCCCCGGTTCGGATCCCACATATGAGGGCCAGTGACACTGCCCTCTACAGCTAAGATGCTGAACAACAGCTCAACCTGGAGCTGGGCTGCCGTGAGTCGCAGGCCATGGCGTAGGCAGTAGCCCCTGCTGCAGTGGGTTGCCATGAGCTACCGTGTATAGCCAGCAGTCAGTGTGAGCGGCCAGCAGCTGTAGTGAGCGGCCAACCAGAAGCCGGCGACTGATCCGCCTCGCTCGTGAAGAGCGTAATGATGGTGCCAACTTGAGCCAGTGAAGCGATGCCCTCCACAACTAGACTGAAGAACAAAAGGACAGCAACTTGTCTGTTGCCCTTCCCCCAATTCTCCAGCACTGTTCCCATCCCCCCAATTCCCCAATAAAATCTTAAAAAAAAAAGAAATGCATTTGCAGTACTATGTATCATGTTCTCAACTCATTTGACTTACTCCATTGATATCAGTAGATTAAAATAATAGTAGATGATATAAGATTGTCAGTGTAGGAATGAAAAGAGCAAAACTTGTATCTGCATAAGTAAGCGATTGAACTGTAAGAGAGTTGAAAGCGCTACAGGAATTGATAGAAGAATCAATAGAAGTCAATAAAAAACCTCTAGGCAAGAATTGGCTTTTAAAGAACAATCCTAAATACACAAAGGCTTGACAAAATGCTAGCTAACAACTCTGAGACTTATTGATCACAAGGATGTAGGCCATTTTGCAGTATACTCCAATAATCAAAATGCCTTCACAATGGCATACAGTGAAAATTGATATGCATAATAATAACTATAAGTCACTGAAAGATCTTTAATGCCTCTGATTCACTCAAAACTTTATTGTGCTCATTATAATTTTAGGGATAAACACATTTATTTCTGAATAAAGAGACTTAAAACAATATTTCCTTTGGCGGGAGCTATTTCACTAAGAATTATATAATTTTGAGCTAGAAATTGCAGTACGAATGTTGAGTTGTTAATTCAGTAGAAAACACCAAACTAGAGAACAGAGGGTTGTCAGGAAGATTTGGGAAATTGGGGGAAATTTAAGGCATGGAAAGGATGAAGGCAGGATGGAGCCCAGGGAAGGCATGCTTAGCATGTGACCCAGAATAACAAACATGATTTGCCAAATTCCAAATTGAATAAATCCATATAGCTGAACCCATGTGATATGTGTAGACAAAAACCCACAAGCAAACCACCGAAGTGTGAGAACTAGAAGGAAAGGGTGGTCAATAGTCTGATGTAATATTCTGATATATTTCTTAGAACCTACATGCTATCTTAAGTGATCTGGTCATCAAAACCAGCAGTCCCGCCTCTGCCTTCTTCCTTTACCCTATTTCTCCAATGGGGAAAATTAAAGCTTAAGTAAAATGAATTGTTCAAGGTCACATAGTTGGAAGTAGCAGGGCCAGGACTTATATATTCAAGTTTCTTGTTTTTTATTCATTATTCTCTTCAATCTGAAAAGCCACCTCTAGGCAAACGTACCTGAGGGCTCAAATCATCCAGTAATTCACTAAGTTTTTTTCTCCCATGAACATACATGTAATCTGATGGCCAGAGGAAAAAACTCAAACTATGATTTTTTTGTTTGTTTGTTTGTTTTAATTCACTCTAGCATACAAGATGTCTCAAACTAGATGGCCTATTATCCTTGGACCAATTTTTCTTCTGAAAGGAAAAGGGGAAAGTGTTCCTCATGGGACTATGAGTGACATCAACCCATAAACTGCAACACTCCCATTGTTCACACAGGCAGAGCTGCGTCTGTTAGCCCTAAATCAATTTGAAAAACAAATTGGCAGAGCTGAGCTTGTCATCCTAAATGTATTCTTAAAAAATTATTTAGTGTTTATTATGCACCTGATTATGGAGTACAAAATAAATAAGACACCATTTTGACCCCAAGTTACTTACAATTTACAGATTATTTCTTTCTTAGATGAATCCAAGTTATGAAATTGTTCTAAATCACTTTTGTAAGTAATCAACTGTTAAAAAAAATCACATCACATCATAATAGAAAAGTGATTTGCTATACTGCGGGGCATGTGGTAATGATACAACACAGTCTTCCTGGCTCCAAAATTTTTTTCCCCCCATCTTCAGATAAACCTTGATATATATATATATATATATTTTTTTTTTTTTTTCAATGCAAAATAGCATCAGATAATTTCCTGGGTGTATTTGTACTAACTAAAATTTTTATAAAATAAATACATTTATTATGCATTTAGCCATACCTTATGTTCTATATTATATAACATAGATAATGTGCTAAAGCAAACATTTTTTGAACTGTTAGCTTTTTGTAAATTATGAGCAAACAGTTCTGTAGTTTAAAATAGTAAGTGCAAAAATATAATTGAACTGGACTCTCCTTGAATGTGTCTCTGCACACCTGGTCTCTCAAGGTCACGATCTTCTCCTGGGCAACAGAGTCTGGCTGTTCAGCTATGTTTCCCCTCCTTAGCTACCCACCACCACCTGGGGTTTCTCTTTGTGATACATGAATTTTTTTATTTATTCTCAGGTTTATAATTATAAATATGGTGATTGAAAATAACTGGCTCTTCATGTGCATTTTTTTCCCTAAGTGACAACTAAGAATTCACTATGCCTTTTTTTCCCTCTGTTCTTCAAAACGATTATCATTTATTAGACAATGTTGTAAGTATGCTTCCTCATCTTCCCCTAACCAAAAGCCATTGGAGAGATTTATTTTTTTTAATTATGCGTTTGACTTTTTGAATAAGTAATACATTCACAAGTATAAATCAACAAATGCAAAATGGCCTAGAGTAAAGAG